CAACTCGGGCTGAATGGGTATACAGCATCCCAGCAAACAGACGGAGGTAGGCTACATACTCGATTACCCCCCGCCCCAGCCCCAGAAAAACAAAAACACGCCCTGCTCGGGGACCGAACTCTCGTTTTGTGTGTGCCACGGCAAAGGAGGTTAATAATTCTTTCCAAGGTCCTTGTCGCCATAGTCTAATCTTGAGGGCAGCAAGATGTCTTGGAGTTGCTGTAGCCGGGGGAGTGAAAAATATATCAAGTCATCCGAAGTTCATCTTAATTAAACCTTGGGAATTGTAAAGAAAGAAGAAGTGCTGGGACCCGAAAAAAGGATCAAGTTAACCAAAGATAAACTCAAGCGAGGTCATTACATGGCGGAGTCAACCTTATTTCGTACTGTCCCACAGATCGAACGGAACATTTGGGTACTAATACTACATGTATAATAGATGGCTTGACAACCAGCTGCTGTATCCCTCTCAACCAGCCTTCTAAGCAATCTACATTGTGTCGTAAGGAGCGTAAAAAACACCTACATAAAAAAAAATCACTCCATTTGCCTTGTTTTATTAAATTATTGCAAACCTACCGGTCACCATTATTATGGCCCATATATATATACATGTATGGTAATGAAAAGATCATCGATGAGTTGAGAGAAATACTCTGTGATAGAGTATCAAATCTCTCTCTCTCTCTCTCTAACCATATTATTGTACAGTCGAATATAATATGCTCTAAAGACCATCTGTCAAAGAAAATCCCCTGTTAACGAAACTGTCCAAAAGAGTGCCACCTGCCTAAGAATAAGATGACCACTTTCCTCCTCCACAATGGGTGGTCGTCACGGATAGGTTCAACTGTATTTAACACCCCTTTTTATTAAAAAGCTGGTCATGACATGCAGATTTTAACATCCACATATTATTTATACAAATGCATACACATACACAGTGCTTATGCTTCTTTATTCATCTCTCAATTTGGAAGCTCTAAAAAAAAAAGAACCTATTATCCCAGTATTTCCCCATCACTCACACGTTCAGGTATTCCAAATCAGTTACTCTGGGTCTACTCTTGCCTCATTTACCTTCTATCTTCGATGGAAAGCATGCTGTTTAAAGTTTTTATGTTAATTCAAGTGTCCAAGAAAATGCATTTATCGCTTCCTAATTGAATTGTTCATAATTAGTGACCAGCCCACATGGGCTTGTTCCAGTAGTTCCTCATTTGATTTTACTTGCTACTGTAAAATTCTCAAAAGTTGAGAAAGAGCAGCCACACAACAGGGTCAACTATACGGAAATAAAAACTATTATAAATACACTATTTAAATTTAAAGCACCACAGACACCAGATAGCTACAATGAGCTGTCCCGCCAAGAACAAGTGATTATCTTCTGACAAAAAATACAACATAAAAGACTGAGACAACATATGTACAGATGTTTTAAACTAGTACAATCACCAAAATGACAGTGTAGAGAGGCGGACCAAACTGTGGGACACATCCTTCAGCACGGCAGGACACACAGGGCCCTGAGACAGGAAACGTGGCCAACCTCATTGACACTACAGGAGAAGCTGTATGTGCCGACAGATGAAATAAGCAGGATGGCCCAATATATGATAGATACCTGACTTCAAGTGTGATGCGATCGATAAGAAGAAAAAGAAGAAGAAGAAGAAGAAGAAGATGAAGATGGAAGTCGCACACAACAAGAAATAAAAAAAAAAAAACTCACCCGTAAACAAACTTTTCCACTTTTATCTTAAGTAAAATTTATTCATAGAGTACCAACACATTTAAAAAGGCATGGGAGATAATAGATTTATATAAATCCTTCCCAATATCCTTTTTTGTTCTTGTTAAAAACATCAGGTCCGCAAGTACAATACCCCTTCCCCCACCCACTCTCATGAAAACCAATAAGACAGCAAACTGTTGTGGTTGCGAGAAAAAAGAGCAGCTCAAATGACCCCCCCCCCCCCCCCCCAATCCTGTACAGCAAGGTCAAACAGAGTAATTTATTTTTCTGGCGACAGCAATAAAATATACATGCTACATACGATATTAAAATAAAAATTCAATCGGAGCAAAAGTATAGTAAAATATTGCTCCAGAATAATTTTCATTCAAAGGTTTTCTTGCTAACTTCAGGATAGACACGCACATACACACACACACACAAAAAAAAAAAAAAGGAAAAAAAAAAGGAGAAATCTTATGTAAGGTGAATAAATAAAAAAGCAAGATATGTGCCATAAAACATGTTTTACTATGAGATGTGACACAAAATTTTTACCAAGGTTGTTTTAAGGTTGTATGAACAAAGTAAATACAGGCAGTAGTAGTGTTTAATTGCATAATAATTAAATATCATAAGTGTATCCATTGTAAGTAATCATTATACACATAAAATAACTATTGCCAAACTGAATGACAGCTTTACATAGTGTAAATACCGGGTAAAGAACAGAAATACATTTTATATATTTAAACACAGTATGTCCTACTAAATTGCAAAATTGGAAGTTTTATTCCTAGGGTCTGACAAATAAAACTTCTAATGTTTGACACAAAGATACTCTCATTCATGAAGCAAAAGGGTAAAACATTAAAACTTAGTTTAGTTTTAGTAGAGGTTTCACAGCGCTCGCAACTGCATAAAGTCATAAGAGCGCCAGAAGATTAGAGGTGTTACAAGAGAGTAACCATGAAAAAGAAGAAGGGGAGATAAGGACGATAGATGTTTGATAGGAAAGATGGAGCAAACCACACCAGAACACCCACCAACCACCCATAGGATCTTATCAACATTAGAGACAATTACAAATGGTAGAGACAAGTAGCCCCCCCCCAAAAAAAAACAACAACAACCCAACACACACACAGTTTGTTTGTTTTTTTGTTTGAGTAAAGAGAAGCACATCAACAGAATAATTATAATGATCATTTAGTGCTGGAAAAAAGTAAGACACACAGACAGAAACAACAGAGGGAAAGTAAAGAAGAAGGACCTGCCAATTGCACCCTCCAACCATCTGCACACACACACACAAACAACACAATACACCCTTCCTTTAAAAAGCAACAGGAGTGACTGTCAAAGTACGTTAATTGAAAACAGAGTCGTCAATTAGACTTAAACCAAAAAATTGCGGAGTGCGCTTAAGTGAGCACCTAATCTAGTCACATGAAGATAAACAGTGTTTCCAGAATTGTGGGTTTTCTTACATTGGACTCTTTAATAACACACAAAGGTTGAACAAGTCTACTATGACTGATCATGCTATACAGGAAATGCTCTGAATGCAAACAAACTGTCTTAGACAAGAGACGAAGGAACAGTAACACAAAGACATCAACAAAATTTATCATATTGGTCTGAACACTGTGGGAGTAACAGTGGCAATAGGATTTTGCCCCAAAAAGCCTAGCATTTAAGTTAAACCAGAATGACAGACAATGGGACATCAAAGATAGTCCCCGATATTAAAATAAATACAAAATAAAATAATATACCCAGTACAATTTTCTCTGTGATACATATGTGCAATCACAAAATATATGGCACAGCAGTACTCTCATGCCCTGGTGGTAAACAGTTCAAAGAATATATATCATTATTATTATACATAGTGCATTTACACAAAAGTATTATAAACAATGTGTATGGAACAAGAATGTGATCATCATTTAAACTACAAGATTTGTATGTGCATGATGCATTGAAATACAAAGAAAATGTACAGATTAATGTTTATCAGTCTTGAAAAGAAACAACAACTAAGTAGACATTTCATAAGCTAACTAAACTGAATGATTTAGCTTAAGTAGAGGTTTTACGGCGCTCGCAACTGCATAGGGTCATATGAGTGCCAAGGGGCGGATGTCAACAGAGAAGTCCTTACAGGGAATCAGGCTTACTCTGCTCACCACTTCTCTAGCTTCAACAGCACAAAGTCTGCCTTGACTATCAAAGCACCCAGGAAATAGCAGGTCACAAGAGTGTGACAAACATACAAAAAAGGTAGAGATAAAACGACAATAGTAAGGATTAGGAAAGAAGTAGCTGCCATTCCCTGTTGCAGTTCAGGCACAGTTATGAGCATGACATTGATGAATCAGCCCATTTACAATTCTACTGTGCATAAGAACATGATGTCCCCCCTTTGGGAATGGCCTAATGACACTTCAGTCAGTAGCACCGTCCAAATTAATGAATGGTTAAACTTATTCTTGACTACCTTGCAACAATAACTGTCATTCATTTAGATACTAGATGCACACACATCATGTCCTGTAAAAGCCTAGAACAGTGGTCTCTGGAATAGCCGCATCTAATCTCCTGTGGTGGGTTGCTTCATTGAGCCGAGCTCGCCCTGAGGTGTGAAGTTTTCCTATATTATGAAGAAAACAGACAACAATTATATTTTGGCATGCCCTCTCACACCGTCGCCTGCCACACATGGCCGGTAACAGGCTTTCCTCATTACATAATTCTGTCCCGTACTATGTCCGTATGTCCTTTTTGCTCTGTGGTAAAGTCACAATTTCAAATCATAAATGAAAAAGGAGGGCGTGAGGGGTTTACTAGGTGTCCATTAGTTCTAAGTCAAAATTTATGGCTGATCCACTTCTGACACTAATCACACTAGCACAGGAACGATCATGCTACAGTGCAGATGGAGTTGTTGACTTGGAATGTGATAATTAAATGCCAAAAATCAGTTAGGAACAGCCAGCATTTTAAAGCAGATTTTACTTTTACCCGGCGAACTATTAACTGGAGACCACTGTACATGCAAAATTACGTGAAATAACAGCTTAATAATATTGTAACGATACATAAAAGTTAGTTTAAAATTTACAAAAAATGTATATAGTCCAGACAGCAAAATCCAAAATCCTTAGCTGTCTTTCAAAAGTTAGCTTAGTATTCCCTGCACAGGTAAAAAATTCACATTTGTCTGCCCTGAGAAGTGTGAACTGTTGTCTCCTTTTCTGTTGATCAGCTGACATTTTATGTACGGTGACAGCAAAAGCACATAATAAACCTATTTCTCTTAAGATTCGTTATTATTAACATCTTTTGCATTAATATTCAGTTAATGCAGCAAAACACGGCTATAGCGAGACTTTTGGTTCCAGAAGAAATATCCCGCTGTAGGCAAGTTCCCACTATAGGAATGCAAAGGGGAAATCACAGAAAAAATTTTCCATAAAATTCGCATGATTACCTCCCTTGCATATAAATAAAATTTGCCCTTTAGATTAGTCTTCCTTTTCTTGTCAACTTCGTTGATTATCTCGGCCTTCAATTCGAGTGAGAAACTATTTTCTTTTGACTTTGTTGGAAGCCATCTTTTCCTCAGTCTTGTTGCTTGTGCTGTCTATTGTACCGGTAGGCCAACTGTAGAACTGGTGAAGTGGATGCGTGTGTATGCCTGAGCATCAAAGATCACAATTCAATGAATCGGGAATCACACACTAGGTCTACAAGCTCTCCTCTTCTTTTACTTTTGGCCTAGTCTAGGCCTAGATCTAGGGCTAAGGCCTATACGCTCTCATACTGAGAGTCTAAACTATGGCACATCACTTTTGGAGTGGCTCATGTAACGCGTCTCTCCGTAACCATCTCTCTCTGCCGCCGGCGCCACCTCACTCATCACTGGACTGACCAATCACAACGTCGCACCGCTGACTGCCAGTTTGGAGTCTGCCTACAGCCCCAAGCTAGAGCTCACTCAATCTCTCCCGCTGCATCCAAGTTCGGGCCTTTCCCCGCCCCGTTAAACCCGAGCACAGGTAATTGAGTTTACATAGAAAAGAAAGGAGGATTCCGGTACGGTCCCGCTGCTGCGGGTGCCGCTATAGTCATGTTCTACTGCATGTACAGATTATTACTTGTAAGATGACAACAACACTTATTTCTCTACAAACATAGTCATGTTAAAGATATTTTATAGTTTAGAAAGAAATTCATTCACTGTTTTATATTTGTTGTAGCCTCCTCTGCACAAAAAAACTTCAGGGAGGAGTAAGAAAGAATGATTGAAGTGATAAAACTCGGTTGTAGTTTAGCATCTAAAAGTATCAGATGGTCAGGCACAGCCTTCATTTCACTTGCACACAGTTATTCATCATGCCATACAAATATGGTACTTAAAACTATAATTGTTTAATTAATTATCATGTCTGAAAGACAACAGCATCAAATTCGGGTGAAGTGATAAAATATTTCAACAATAACGCAGATATATCTATATATCAATGACATGAGATCGATTCAGAGTAACCTAACAATTATGAAAGTAGACTACACTCGCCCAGCGAGCAGTATTGCAGTACTGAATAGGAAACAAGGCAAAAATCAATATATTTCAGTTGATTGTGACACTTGGGCTGTACAAACATCCAAAATGAACAATCCGAAGCCTGATTTTTAAAAATCATTCTTTAAAACAAATTCACATCTGTTACAAGGAACACTGGGATGAGCAAGACAAGAGTGGCAATTTGTCAGCGGGAAAGTTTTTATGAATAGTTTGAAATTACTTTTGCATGGATTTGTATTTTCCTTCAAATGATTTATTTCTATTGAAATATGATGATGCTGAGCATGCAAAGAAAACATTTCTTCTTTCAAAAACTCTCCTACATAGTAGAGTGCATTTTGAGCAAAGAAAAACACTTAACTAGATATAATCAAGTATGTAAGAAATAAAATAGATACACAAAAACAATAGAGGGAAAGAAAAGAAGTAGAACTTGCCAGTGGTGCCTTACCACCACATACTGCATAGCAAAACCCATAAAATATTATTAATGAATGTGTGTTGACACTGTCGGGTTATAAAATTTGTTGTACCCCCTGATTTCAATGTTCTAATCTGATAGTTATAGAACTGATCCAAGTCGGTAGAGATCCTTGAAAACTTTCTTGAATTCAAGAACAGCCAATTACAGATTGGAGCCAGGACCATACACACCATAGCCTAGCACGATACCATTGGAGCAAACAGCATGTCCTAGCAAAGCCGTGATGACAACAAGTAGGAAAATATTACAAAGCAATCGGGGAAACTACAATCGGCAAGCGGCTGAGGGTAACTTGAATGCTCTGAAAAACATCAAGAAACCTTAAAGCCTTTAACTGTCAATGGGCTCTGATACCAGATGCAGTCCACAGATGACGTCTGAGAATCACTTTGCCTTCCAACGAGAGCCACACGAGGGGATGCAAAATGTACATGCTCCAATGCCTTCACACCACCGCCAGTCTCATCCTTGAGGCCAGAGAAAGACCTGCGTTGACATTTTCTCGTGGAAACACTGGCCTCTGATGCAGCGTCTCTTCCAGAGCAACTGTGGCAAGAAGTCCGTGAAGCAACCCCATTGACACTCTGCTCTACATGAGTGCATTGAGAAGTCAAACAGTATTCTTCACTGGAAGCATTTCCATTTGACGATTCATGCTCCGCAGCTGCCCCAACACGAACTCCATTGACTCCGATCTCCGGGATTAAGGTCCTTTTACATTTTACCGGAAGAACACCATTAGCCGCACAATGCCCATCACCTTCTGTCCCTGCTGGGGTTTGAAGGTCTTCTTGTTGGCACTGAGAGCAGTCAAGTAGCTCTATACCTGACAGCACTGAGACATCGCCGTTGAACGTTAAATCATGACAGAAGGGCACAACATATGAACAGTAAAAATTGAAAGAAATAACATTTCCTCGCTGTGGGGCGCCAAGAGATATCTTTGGGAGGAACCACTGGACAGGACAAGTCCGAGGAGCTGATAACAGCAACATCATGTTGGTAGGCGATAAATCATGTCTCATTACTCCAAGGATGTCCTTATCAATGATCTGGGAACAAAAGAAATAATCAAAGCATAAATAAAATTCTGCAAAGAAAAGAATACCAGGGAATACAGTACAACCTGCTCTAACAACCATCTGTACAAGTGATCACATCTTACCCATGCGCTAGCCTAAAAAGACCACATAGTAAAGACCTCATCGCCCAACATATGCCACAAAAATTATTGACCCCAAATGCTGTGTCGTGAACAAGCCGCCATAACTACAAACTTTTGTTAGAAAGAAAAAAATATTTTAATGGGCATTACATGAAGTAGTCCTAAACCTGTGACTGCCTCCAGCTGGGATCACAGAAGGAAATGGGTTTTTTCCTTCTTCATTTTTATCTAAACAAGTCTTAGTCAATCACTTTTCTCCCCATCAATGAGTGGTCATCTTGGATAAGTTTGACAGAATCTAGCTTAGTGCAAGACAATAATATTGTCACATATTCTCAATCCTGAAATACATTATGTTTACTTTTTCTCAGTGTTTCATCTTCCAAGTACGAATAAGAGTATTTTAGCAAGTAATGAGTGTGTGCAAATATATAATAAAATCTATTAAACAAGGGAATATATGTACGTACAGTGGTCTACTCAAAGCCTCCTTAAAATCAAGGTTTGCCATATGACAAATATTTTAGTTGTCAGAAAAATTTGCATTATCCGAGAACTTATTCTAAAGAAAAATTACAACCTGCCTAAAAACCTGGTTTGGCCTGAGAGGGAAGCGCATCTCTCACATTCCATTTACTAATAAGGAAATACAGTGGAGTCTGCTTAACACTTTTCTTACTGCGAGCTGCATTTTGCGGATCACGGACGTGGCCTCGCTGGACAGAGAGCAGCAAAATACGGCCCGAGGGGTTTGCTGTCTTTTCCAATCCAGTAATGAAAAGGCACGAAATTCTCAGCCGATCCATGTTTTCGAGATAATAGAATAGACTTCATGTAAGCGGATATGAAAAATAATATAGCACTGCCAACGATTTTTAGTCATTAGAGCGCTTTTTTCTGTCCCCCATTGAAACGTAAAAATGAAAAGAAAAGTGCTCCCCTGACTTCAGTATATGTCTCATATTTTCACTTCTGTAATAGGTACACATACATAACTTTCAGCATTTCTTTGCATTACCTGAGGCAAACTACCTGGGAAGTTTGAAGGATGTTGTTGTAGTACTTTTTTAGTTATGACCTTTCAAAGCTGGAAAATTGTTAATTTCATATGACACATTCGATATTGCATAATCATATTTAGAAACCCCAAACAAATATATAATTGGAATAAATCTTTAATATTGTACCACCATCTGATAGATTATTTTTTAACCTTCAGTTTGATGGGCCATATGGTATGGTTTGTGTGTGTTTAGTTGGATGTTTTGACATTTTCCTTTGGTGGGGTAGGGCCGTAAAAATAGGTCAGGGAAAAGCCCTGGGCCAGTGGTGGAGTTCATAAATAGACTTGCCTGTATTCCTGAGCTGTGCAAACTATTCTAAAAGAGGAATTTAAGCGAAAAAAAATAATTAATTAAAAAAAAGGAAGTGTCTTACACCATTCAAATACAGTGGAACTCGGATTCAACGAGGTCGTCGGGCCTGACCTAAAATCTCGTTGAATCCGAGTGCCGAGTGTTCGTTATAGCAAACACGAGGTTTTGAGTAGATAATTACAGGAAGTGAGCAAGTAATGTACAAGAGAAGTCACAAGTTGTGCCTGAATATTATGAGTTGTGTAAAAAAAAGACCGATTCGTTCAAATACACACGCCTGTGTCATCTCGATAGTTTATCAAAAAGTTGTGTTGCTGTGTAGAGCCTAGCATATCGCAACTTTTGATTCCATAGACCAGGGCACAATTCAGTCCGTAGACCTACGTCAAGACTAGCTTATTATTGTAATGATGACCAGTTGCCGAGGGGGAAAAAGACTGTGACGCATTTGTATATGCGACGTTCAACGCCCGGACCGCTAGTGCCCCCTCCTCCCCGACACACACACACAGCCACACGTGTGCAGGCCACCCATCCGACCCCTACACACGCCAGAGTAGACACGTGCGCATGCCAAGCCAACAACACATGTGTTGGTTGTACGTGTATAAGAACATATAGGTCGCATGCAATCGGCTAAGTGAATAATGGTTCACGATGCAGGTGCAATGGATATTTTCCGGGAATAGACAAAGTTCGTTCTGGGAGAAAAATTAGCGAAGCCACGTCTGCAGGGGCTGTTCACCCTCTAAGAGACCTCGTTGAATCCGGGTTATTTCTATTGATTTTAAAGAAGAAAAAAACCGGGGAATCTATCTCATCTCGTTGAATCCGAGCTCGTTAAATCCGAGTTCCACTGTACTGCTGACAGATGCAACACATCAAATTTTAATCTGCTCAGAGACTTATTTGTTAACCGGTTTACAGGACACGATTGGTCTCCATAGAGGTTGTAAAATATTTTCAAGGTCTGGAATCAGCATATGTGGACATTTGTCTCAAGTTCTCTATGCGAAAACAGTCTGTCATTCTCACCTGTTTGAATAGGGTTCTCTTGCATGATAAGAACGGCAAACAATCTGCATCAGCACAAGGGGGCGGGAAGTTTATCACATAGGATTCTTTTGGACTCACCACAGTTGCTCCAAAGACAACTGCCACCTTAGATATCAGATGAAAAATCAAATCTGAATGTCAATCATATATATAAAGATTTAATCACCTTTATGTGTGAAATCACAAAAAAAAAATAAACAAGCTTTCCCAGTAAGTTTCTTAATTTCAGAGGCATGAAATTTTAGGATTGGGAATTTATAAAAAGTAAATTACTTCTTCCATTCCTTCATATGCCAGATATGACTGCACATGGGCCACAAGAGGAAAAAGGCACTTATTCTCTGAATGAATTGAATTGTTATCATAACCGCAGTCAGTGGAATCACATATAAAATATGAATTCAACAAATCCAAAATTACCTTCAATTATTAACAACCCTTAGTGGTCTTAAAATTGATCAGAGTAGGCTTCGTCCGCCACCTGGGCAAAATTCAAAATTCCTACCAAACTGAAAATGTTAAACGTGTTCATGATATAATATGACATTATGCAACTGCGAGCACCATAAAACACCAAAACAAAAACAAAAAGTAAGAAAAACTGAACAGTCTTCCCAGTTTTCAAATTTGATTTCACGTACCTGTTCAATTTCAGGACAACTCTCAAAAGCTTTCCGAAGCTGGTCAAAGATGTTAGACAAGTTGGTGATCACGCCTTCTGTCTTTTGTTGCTGATGATTCTTTGACGATGAAAATTTTGATAGAAATGTCCTTGCCTGAGAAGTAAAATTACCATTACAACCCAATTGAACCAGCAATCACATAACTAACATGAACAGCATGTAAGCACAAAAAGTTAGCGACTCATTTATCTGAGTAAAAGAAATTCATCTGGCCTAAATTTTATTATATTGTCGAAGATAACTCTGGACCTTATTCTCTGTACTTGATGTATGCTGCTAAGAAATAACAAAATGCCTTGAGTTGCCATTTTTTTCTTTCATAACACAAGAGTTTGATGGTTAAAAGTAGTATTAATATCATTTGACAACCCCACCTCCAGGCCAGTTGATTATGCAACAGTAAAAAAAAAAATTTCAAAGAACTGTCAGCCCTTTTCATCTTGAGAATATTAAGAACGTCAATGAATCCATACAAAAATTCTACCTTTATTTTAAAGGCTGTTTATCAAACTTTACAACTAAATCTATAATGATGTAAGCTGGCTCAATCTTGCTAATGACCCTCTGCAATCCATCTTTATATAAGTCTTAACTTTAAACGTGGTTTGCTTGCTTACCCCACTTTAAAAAGCTGTCTTATTTCATGAGTCTTAGTCTAAGAGGGGGGATTAACATTCAATCATTCATATTTTAAAACTAACAGTTGTTCGTCCTCTTTGTGGTAAAAGAAGGTACTGCACAATCTGATGCGGGTGATCTTCGAACTCTAGCAAGAAAAAGAGTTACTTGCGAGGTATTTTAACACTGGTTCCGCATTCAATATAATTTTATGAATTGGACATATTTTCATTAAGTTTACATATATAAGAAAATCTTATCGTCAGCAAGCAGGCTAGTTGCAAAATTTTTTTTTTTTAAATCAGGCGCAGACCAATAGCCAGACGAAACAGAACCGATCTTGCCAATATTATGGGCACTGGGTTTAGAGCCCACCCTTTGCCCTTACCTATTTTTTATTTTCAGCATGATCCATGTGATAAGGCACTCGGTGGGGACCCCCCCCTGCAACTAAAATTCCACTGCCGGTGCGTCGTGAAGGGTGTGTGTATGTGTGTGTGTGGGTGTGGCACATTCAACCTCAATCTCCTGTACTAGTAGGACCTGAACAAATCTGTTTTATTTCTCCTTCAGTGAACAAAAGAACATAAGATCAGAAATTTTAGTGATTTTAGTAAGTAACTGTAACAACTTTTCCTCTTTAGGAACAAACGAGTTTCAATAAAATAAAAACCAATTTACAAAAGTTTTTTCAATGCTCAGAAAATTGAGTAGCCAACCCGGTACCAGTACTAATACGGAGAGTAATTTGCAATTTACCACACAAAAAAAAAAAAAAAAAAAAAGAAAAGAAGTTTAATTCAGATATCTAGATATATAATGTTTCACATGATTGTCAGCCGTGGTAAGCTGGAAAATAAACGGGGGGGACACGCTTATTCAATACTTTAGGGTACACAGGACTGATCAAAGTGAAGAAAATAAACCATACTTTGGAAGTCCCAACTGGAGATGGTCACTGGCTTAGGACTGCCTGTAGGGCTCATTAAAATGTTTTTTGATTATTGTTGTTGTATTTTTTTCTTTTGAAAGGGGGTAGAGAATAGGATGGAAGTTGTGACAAGCGGATAGTTAGAGAACGTTAGAGTACGCCATTAGCCAATATTAATAGCAATAGCCATCTTGTTTGACCTATTCTTTAACATACACATATTCACATATAATGAGAATTACCATAATAAAATTTCTTTGCTAAAATGAAAAAAAAAAAAGCTTTCTTTTTTTTACTCCACATTTTTTTTCTTCCAGATCAGACAGTGAGACAGTAGGTCTGGAACTTCTTTTGTCTTTTGTCAGAATGACACAAACAAGATAGCTGTTACTTTAAATATCGGCCAATGGCGTACCCCTAACGTTCTTTAACTATCCGCTTGTGTTGTTGTGGGACTTTTTGTTGTTAGTTTTATTAAACTATTATCTGTAGTGTAATCTTTAAAATTATAGTATTAGTATTGTGAAATGTCAACACAAAACGAAATGCGTCAGACAGGGAAGGCCAAGTGCCAATAAAACTTACAAACAATGGGTTGTCACCACTCAGTGAACGAGCAACACTTCTGTCACGAGTTTGTGTAGACTTCATATTGTTATGAACTGTATTTACGGACTGAGTTGTGGGCGGGGCTTATAGATCTAGGTGATGACGGATCACCAGTAGATGAAAATTTATTTTTACCTATTATTGGTCAACTTGGGTAAACATTGGCACGAGCGACCTAAGCAAATGACCATTTCATCTATTGGAGGGACTGACAAATAACAACAGGTGAATTAATTACAATTTTATGAAAGTGCCTGATTAGTGGGTTGATAAAATAGGGTGGCGGCGGCTGTGTTGGAAAGGTAGCCTATCTGTTTAATTATAGAAAAAATGCAAGGGAAAATGGGTACATTTTTACTTTCACTCCCGCACACAGATGCACTGCTTCGGGTGTCAAACTGCAGTACTGTTTGCTGCAGATCACATATAAAGCCACTAAAAACTAAAAATGTAGCAACAAAATTATTTCCAAGAAAATTTCAAATCTAAAACCGTAAAATATCAAATTATGGGTTAAAACAGGGGGCAGATTTTCTTTTACCCTGTGGGGCAGGCCCCCCTGGAACCCCCCGATTTGTCCAAAGCACGCTTACACCTTTACATCTTTATTAAGAACAATCAGATTCAAATACTATTAATCTGCGACGGAAATGAAGTTGATATTCGTGTTCAGCGCATCAATATTTAGTAGAAAATGGACATCTGGTAGCTAAGAGGAGTGAGACGGGAGGGAAAGTAAAAAAATACCGGAGAACGGAAAGTGGCCGTTTGTACAGAACAGACAGAGGTGGCTGTAAGCCGTATTAAATTACAGTTGAACCTGTGTAAGACGGAATCGCAAGGGAGCCACACAAAAATCCCGTCTTATGGGAATTTAGGGGGAGATGGAGGGGGTGGGGGTTTCAAAGGCCTAGCCGGTGGGATCAAGGATCGCTTTCCGATCGGCAAGCAGTGGTCAAAACTTTACATCTCTCAACTGATATCCTGTCTGATAATGACATGCGTCAATCTTACATTCAAATTACCACCAGTGCTTGCCTTTTATAGGACCATTGTTTGACCAATTAAAAACGAACGCCAGAACATCTCCTTTGCTTCCACCCTTAGCCCCACCCACCAGTGAAACAAGCAGTCAACCAGTGCTACCCCTCACTGCCACAGCCATCATGTAACAACAATTCGAGGAACTCTTTTCTTGGCTGGCCGTACAATCAGGGCGGCAAGCATTGGTCAATCTAATTTCACACCTCTGGCTTCTGGCTACCCAGGAAAGTTTGCGTAGTGGCTCTCTACTCGAGTACTCTCACGGGCAGTCGTGAGGTTTCAAACCCACACTACCCTGACCATCTGCATCGCTCAGGACTCACATGATGATGGGGTAATATAGATGATCTACCCCCAAATAGCTCCCCTACTCCCCTTCCTCGCCCAGCGGCATGGCCATTGCGTTAAGTTTACAGCTGGTTAAACCAAACTTGCGAGTTTTGTTTCAAATCAGGGCTGAGCAGGCAAAGAAGCATTTTCCGTCTTAGACAGGTGAAACCCTAGGAAGGGAGCGGATTTTTCTTTCCGTTTCCGCGTTAGACAGGTTGCCGTTTTATACAGGTAATCAACTCTTGTCTTGTGTCTGTGATGAGATGCGAATCTTATCAGCAACTGATAACGTCAGACGTTCCAGGCAGGCCGCCGGGGTCACTCAGTGTGTACTGTTGGTGTACAGCACGTGCGCCAGGAAACGTGTTTTCGCCAGGAATATAGTGGGAGTGTGTTAATCGATGATGAAAATAACGCTCTATCTTTCATAGCTTCCTATTTATAAAGTGTTACAAACACATGAATAACCCCCTCTCACAAGCTGATAAGACATTACGAGTAGTTATGCCCATTCGAATAACCTTTCTAGACGCTCTTGTTGTTAATTGAATGACCTGGGGTTCGAAAGGGGATATATATGTAGTAGGTCAATTTCCGAATGTTTTGCACTCAAATTGTTCTTTGTACCTGCACAATGTTATTCAAAATTATCAAACAAGCTTATTTTTTATCAGGTAGTATTATTTCATAATATCAAGCTTATTTGAAAGATTTTGTAGAAAAATGGAAGTCTTATTTCCGGACTAATCCTTTCGAGCTCCTCAAGTCTAAGTGGGTCAATTTCTTCTCTATATAAAATTTCATTGGCGACATTGGACGAACATCTAGAGCTACCAACTTGGCGTGTTTTGAATGAGACGTATGCCTTGATTACGAATCAACGCAGGCGGTTCTAGAAGAAACCTTAGAAGGCCATGAACGCACACAAACTCAAGCAGACTGACGCACACACTACACACACTTGACCTGCAGGGGGATCCGATGCGGGACCCGAATTGAACGGGAGATGATGCTCGGCGCGCATGCGCTGAGCCAGGGGCCAGACTGACTCGGGACCAGAACGCAGGCGAGGTGCCGAAATAGACTTATCGGGCGACATTTATAAACTCGGGTCGTAAACCCGGCCCCCACAGGACGAGGGTTAAAGAGGAATACATCAAGGGGGGAGCGAAGAGATTCCGTTAAGACAGGTTTCCATTAAGGAAGGTTCGACTTTATCATCATAATAACAATACAGATGGCAGGTGGACATCATTGCAGTTTCGACTGTTGTTACTCTTTCCAGTAATCTCTCCAAGAACCCAAAATTATTTTCATTTTAAAAACGAAGTGACTATTTCTCCGAACGTTCGGAGAAATCGTGCCGATCTTTATTTCTCCGAACGGTTTCCGACTTCCGGTCTCGTGATTTTTTGCCTATTTATTGCGAGATTCGGCACCAACTTTCATTTCACCTCTGGTCTGGGATTGGGAAGGAACACCGCATGGCAACCTTCAGTAACACCCACCACCATCATGCACATGTACACACACAAACTTATACACCCACTAACTAAACATGATCAGTGGGCAACTTTTGAACATCTGACGAGCTGAGCTGTGGATGGAGAGACAGTGTGAGTGAAAGAGCAGGTGAAAGGAAGAATATACGAGTGTATCCACAGGCGACAGCAACTACAAGACGACGACACCGACCTCCCTGGCCTGGTCCACAGCTCACGAACGAAAGGAATGCGGCTAAGGCAGTGTTTTGCCTATATTAGTGTCCATGGTTCGCAGAGTGCAAGTCGAGTGAGATTTTCTTTGTGTGTGCCTGGAGGGAGGGGGTGGGGTGTGAAAGTCATGCGGACGGGGATGAGCCGCGGGAGAGAACACGGGAATTGAATGAATGAGTGAAACTGAAAGAGAGGAACGACTCATGAGCCCTGGAGTGAATGGATCCTGTGTTTCTATTTTTGTATACTTTGAACTGTTACTGAATAAAGGCTGAAATAAAGCCCGAAAAACAAACACACGCACGCTCCTCACTCTCCACTTACACACTTACTACCACACACAGACACGCACATGCATACACACACACACACAGGAGCAAATTTTTAGGTCTTTATCTATTTCAATTTTCAAGAGCTAGATCTAGTCTGGCTAGTCTAGAGATTTTTAGATGAGTGTAAAAACGTGAAAAAGAAAGGTTTCACAACAGAATGAAATCAAAATTAGAACAGCCCATAAACAACCACAAAAATTAACAAATAAGGGCGTGAGTCCACCTGTCCGAAGAAGATTGGCTGTTTTAACACTAAATGTGCGTAATTTTAAAACAAAGTACAGGATATATTACAAGTAAATTATGGAATCTCACACATTAAGGGGCCTGCCAGTATCAGAATCAGTCCAGGTGATCGGTTTTGGTGGAACGTACGCTCTAACATAACACATTTAAATATATATGTATATATATATAATCTAATGAAGGTAGGAACATCAAATTAAATGATGTTACACTAAACAACACCCCCCTCCCCCTTTTTCCCCATCAAAAAATAAATTGATGGAAAAGCAACACATTAGAACAATAACAAGAAAGAAAAAAATAGGCTACACACTAACAAAATAAAACACCACAAAGAGGGAAAAATAAAAGTAACTGTAACGTATTCAACAAATCAACGTGGTGACAAGTGAGAAAGAGACGAAGTGAAGCTAGGTGAACTTCCTTTCAAAAGTAAAGAGGTTCGGTTTCTTTCATTTTTTCTTTTATTTGACTTTTATTCTCCGATTTGGGGACAAAAAAGTGCCAAAAAATCAGGGTTGGGTTGATTTAAATCAGTTGATTTTTTAAATTTAAATCAACTTGATTTTTTAAATAAAAATCGGTGATTTAAATCACTTTTTGAAAAATTATTTTTATTCAGTTTTTACATATATTTCAACATTCAGAATTCCTTTCCTTGGTTTCATAAAACAGATATAAGGTTAAGTAGACTAATATAATCATGTTTAAAAGTCTGCTTTCCCTCCTTTCACTGTAAAATAATACAGTATTCAATTTGCTTTTTTTTTCCATAATTGAAATCAGAGCTGGGTTGATTAAATCAGTTGATTTTTTTATATATTTTAATCAACTTGATTTTTAAAATAAAAATCAGTAATTTAAATCACTTTTTAAAAAATGTATTCAGTTTTTACATATTTGAACATTCATAATTCCTTTCTTTATTAATCAGATATAAGGTTTAGTAGACTAATATAATCATGCTTAAAAGTCTGCTTTCCCCCTGTCACTAAAAAATAATACAGTATTCAATTTACTTTTTTTTTCATTATTGAAATTAACATTTTCTTTTTCTTTTTAGACAAACACAAGCGTGCACACACACACTGTAATAAAATGCAAGTTTATCTATGCATAATTACCCCCCCCCCCCCTTCCTTTTAGACTGACATTTTCTTCATTTTTTCTCTGTAGCCATAATTCACTGATATATATATATATATTCATTTATATATATAGCAGATTAAGGCTTCCTTTTGCGGTTGCTTAAATTAATCATTAGTCAAAATAAAGACAATGCATTTTGCACTAAAAGAACATACTTTTAGCAACCAAAAATCCCAAAAATTTTAAAAATCCGATATAAATTCAAAAAATCTTGATTTATATAAAAAAAATCGATTTTTATTTTTAAAATAAAAAAAATCACCAACCCTGCAAAAAATCGAGCCACAATTGATTGGTCGCGGGCGCGACAAACGCAGATATCTATGCTAGTTCTATGTGTCGTTATCAATAACCCTCAGAAGATCTAGATCTAGATAGCACACGAGTGAACACAACACATTAAGTTTAAGAGCAGCACCCTTCATAGGCAACACGTCATCTGTAGCGAAAAACTGTTTGGAACTGTAGCATTTCTTTATATAAATATTTACTACGGACATTTTTTGGACCGATTGAACCATATTGTAAGCAAACAATCTTTGGTAGCCCTAGATCTATACTTATAATTATAGAATTATAGATCTAGAATCTATAATCCGAAATTTGCTGAAAGGATGTGATTTCAGAGTGTTCGGAGAAATAGTGCCCAGCTTTATTTTCCCGAACGTTCGGAGAAATAGTGCCTAGCTTTATTTTCCCGAACGTTCGGAGAAATAGTGCCCAGCTTTATTTTCACGAACGTTCGGAGAAATAGTGCTGGCCTTTTAAAAATACACATAGAATCTAGATCTAGATTATATCATTTATCTAGATAGGCCACCTCTATTCTCACCCGGGGTAAGAATAGTGCAGGCGAGTCTTTTGGCTATTCTCACCCGGTGCGCGTTCACCGTTATAGCCTAGATCTAGGCCAACAAATTTTGCGTTCACCCTAAACCACAGAATTCTACACTGTGATACAACAGAAAAATTGGGAGAATTCTGTGCTGTGAACAAACGTTCCATTACAACTGTAGCCTACTAAAAGTGCAATTTTGTCTGTGGGCAGTGGAGAGAGAGAGAGAGAGAGAGAGAGAGAGAGAGAGAGAGAGAGAGAGAGAGAGAGAGAGAGAGAGAGAGAGAGAGAGAGAGGAGTAGTGTGAGAACTTCCGGGCAAAACAAAATGGCGAACCGCGTAGTTCGGCTTGATTCGAAAAGTTAAATAGCCGTAGTATCTTTGTAGACAACCAAATTAATTTACTTTTGTGTTTTAACATCATTTTTTAACTTTGTTTTGGTCAATTTGATCGTCCACACCGATAGACAGTATTCAGAAAGAGACAGAGAGAGAGAAGAGGGGAGGAATAGATCTTGCGAGAACTTCCGGGCAAAACAAAATGGCGACCCCCGTTGTTCGGCTCGATTCGAAAAGTGAAATAGCCATAGCATCTTTGTAGTCGATAAAATTAGCTTACTTTTGTGCTATAACGTAATCTTTTCTTTGCCTTTATCCATTTGATCATCCACATCCATAGAAAGTATTCCGAAATTAGGAAAAAAAGGTCTTGTTTCAAACCGGGTGAGAATAGCCAACGGTGGCAAGTCTCACCCAGGGTGAGAGGTCGATCGTATTTCTATTCTATAGCCATTCCATCTAGATCTAGATCTAGATCTAGATCTAGATCTAGATCTCCTAGATCTAGATTCTAGATATAGATATAGAAATTTAGATCTAAATCTAGAGATCTAGATCTAGATCTAATCGAAATCTATAGGTCTATCTATTCAAAATAGCCTAGATCTACATCTAGATTTCTACATCCAAGTTTTAATTCACTCACCAGGCTCTCACTTTGTCCGAATTGTCCATTTTGATGGTGAAAGCGAGAATGAGATTGAGAATTTGTCCTGGTCGATCTTAGAAACTTGTCCAAATCATCAAAAGGGACAGGAATCTGCTGGCGCTCATAGAGAAGATATTTGATCAGCTCAACGACCAGCGACCCTCTGTTTCTCGAGAGAATAGCTCCGTCAAACACAATATCATAGGAACATGGCAATGGTGTGTGACGACGTTCATTCGAAATCGAAACGCCCGCCATGACACTGTGTCATCAACGTAGCCTCGGCCTACTTGGCACACAACAAGCAAACTTGCAAAGTAGGCTGCCCGCTAGTGATGGGCAGGTATCGATACTAGGTATTCGATACTTAGATACCTATAGGTATCGGTATCGGTACCGATACCTGCTCTAAACATCGATACCTATGTGTTATTTATCCCTGGGCTGCCAAAGCAAGTGACTTGGGCCTTGAGAATTTTTGGTTTATCAAAACAGATAAGTTTTCGTAGGGGGCAAGCGTTTTAAATTAATCTAGTGATTTTTTAACAAAAGAGAGAAGTTTTTCATGAAATGTTTCTAGTGATTTTGCAAAATCCTCACTGACAACCCTGATTTATCCTCATTGGTTTAATTTGAAGTTGCTAAAAATCTGGTAAATTGAATTGCCTTTTTAGAACTCTTGTGTTTTTATTTTCCAATACTAACATTTTCTGCAAAGTTGACTTTCCTCCCATACTTCACTTAATTTTTGTTTTTATTCTCATATTTGGGTATTTATTTCTCTCTCTCTCTCTCTCTCTCTCTCTCTCTCTCTCTCTCTCTCTCTCTCTTTCTCTCTCTCTTCCTCTCTCTCTTTTACAAATAATTTTTTTTGAGTCTCAGCTAAATAGTCACAACTTGTCTAGACACGATCACCTAAATACTTGGAAAAGTATAGTTGTATTTTGTCTTTACTTATTACCCCCGACTAAGTGTAGAATTCTGTGCCCCCGACGTATGTTACCAATAGCATTAAGTATCGAGGTATCGGTATCGATATCTTGAAAAAGTACTAGGTATCGAAATTGATATCTAAATTGTGGTATCGGCCCATCACTACTGCCCGCTCAGTACTCAGTCAGCGCTTTTCTTTGGGGATATCGAATACAATCAAATACAATTCAATACACATGCATAATAAGTACAACTTCAAATCGTTCTTAAATGCTCGAGTAATACTCAAGCTTAAGTTCGAACTACTCGAACAGTCAAATCAGAGACGTCAGTGACTTGACTGTTAGTCATTTTTATCCACAAATTAAAATTTGTCGAATTGTTATTTAAAAAAACAACAACACGTTTTCTGGGTTGGATTGTACTTTACCGGACCACCCGTCAGTGCCCGTGATTATTACCAGCGCCTGGCCTAGGCCTCTACGTGCGGACAAGAGGTAGATCTAGATCTAGTTCCGCGGGCGACTTCGCATACACGTAGAGCGCAATCCAGAGGCAAGGCGAGGTGTGCGAGAGGTGGTGTTTGAGGGTGGGTAGGGGATTTAACTTTGGTGGACCCATCGTGTATCATAACAACAGAAAGGGGGGGTCAGGGGGACCTGGCAACAATTCTAAAAACACACACACAATTAATGCAGACAGTAACATGAGCGGACCTTGGCGGTAAAAGGACAATAGGGGTAATTAGAGTTGGAACATGACAAGCCTTGCTTCGCAGCACTCGCCGAGTCGCGAGCAGGACCGGTCGAGGGGGGTGCAATTATGCAAATTTTACCGTTTTCTGTTCCAGATTTTTCTGGTAGGTCATTTTTTGCGTTAACATCCACCAGTTTAATTTTTAAAATAAAAAAAGACACTCGAAGACACACTTACTTTTTTCCCTTCTGCTTCTCTCTCTCTCTCTCTCTCTCTCTCTCTCTCTCTCTCTCTCTCTCTCTCTCTCTCTCTCTCTCTCTCTTGTTTCTCTCTCATTAATTTATTGAGTACATTAATCATTAATTATTTGTGTTCCTTTCCTAATTCGAAGTGCTGATCGAAGCATTTTCTCAAGTATTCCCTTCGACTCTAATCTGAATACTCGAGTATTCGACAAGTACTGTATTCTTAAATTTTAAATGACATTCGAATCCAAATTTCATGTTGCCCGTATCCGGTTCTTAAACGGTGTTGTCAAATATTGATGACCCCAACCGGCAATCAATGCTGTGTAACTGCGTAAAGTTGTAACGATAACTCACAGGGCACAGCTTTCTTTTTCTTTCTGTCCATGTTTGTACAACATTACAAATTAAATAGCACTCTGGTCGGAAAATGGAATAGAATTTTAATGAACCCGTCTAAAAAATTTGCTCTTCTGTCACTCACGAAAACTCGAAAATCAAAACAGCCTTCCTGGGTCCTCTTTTTTTTCCTTTGCATTAGAGCCAATCAGAACACATAACAATTAAGTGCGTGCACTTGCATGAGGATCTACATTGATAGTGTTGTACGCGCGCGCGCGCGCGCGCGCGCACGCACACACACACACACACACACACTCACACACACACACACTCACATACACACACACACACACACACACACACACACACACACACACACACACCAGCTGGTTGTGCTCACGTTGATCATGTATCATGTATGTTTGTGTGTACACCTGGCCTACACTTGTTTGAGTAGGCCTACATATTATGTGTGTGTAACTTTGTACTTTATGTGTGTGGGTGTGTGTTCGCTAAAATAAATTTAAGAACGTCATTTTATCTTGAGACTGCCAGTGCCAATCGACCACTAAAGGAACAACAGAAGGTGACATCGATTTTGAGATCACACTATAGCTCATTACACGTCTACACTATTTATCTGTCATATTGACGAACATTTAGCTATTCATGTATGTGCATCCGCAACTTGCAGGCTATAAGTATTTTAATGAGTGAAGTTAGCTAGTTAAAACTACCAAACAATATTTTAATCTCAAATCAGTAACTAGATCTATATAATAGAATTATAGAAATAAAACCTAGAGATCAAAATTTAAAATAATAAAGGCCTATTAGGTGGACGGCATTGAGAAAAAGAGTAGCGTGATTATTTCGCAACTTAATTTTTTTTCTTGTAAGTTTCATGAAATACCAGTTTCGAAAAAGATCCAATCGTGTAATTTGGAAGGGAGAGGATTTTCCCCCTTGGTACCGGGTAGTTTTATATTCACCTGTGTATTCACCGTTTGTCCCGTTGTCATGAAACTTCACTCTTCTATTTGATCAGGGCTACTTTCGTCAGCTTGCCAATTTGGTCATTCAGCGTGTCAAACAGAAATTTGACTAGTCAAGGAGAAAGGTGTTCAAAAAGCCCATAAATTAATCTCTATTTAAAATGTCTTGCGCTTTTCAACTTAAATGCTAGAATATAAAGGCTAGGAATTGTAAGTCAAGCTAAAAAAGAACGACTGGCTTGACAATAGATCTTAATTCACAGTCGCCTATAGAGCTGATACAATACACAAAGCATTTTCCGCCCCAAAAAACAAACAATAAAACTCAACAAATTTCCTATAATCATGCAGGATATGAAATGATAAATTAAGTATACAAAAGAAAAAAACAACAACAAGCAAACAAACAAGCAAAACAACAAAAGGTTAAAGGTTGAACTGAAAACCGGTAGAAAATCTGGCAAACATGGCTGATATATTGTGATATTATCAGCTGAATATTGAGAGACCTTATTTACTCGTTTGTTTTTTACTCAGGTTCAGGTCTTCGTCGTGTCAGTTGTGGATCCTGTTACGAGATTGACGAAGCATGGCTGAAAAAAAGCAGGTACATGAAAGCATTATAAAGATCTCTATTATGAGGTCGTTAAAGAAATGAAAGGACTTACTTAAAAAGTAGAAAAAGAAAAGTCTGAAAAGAATTTTAAAAGTTCTCTTCCTGAATCTGAAATAATTTCCAATTATAATCATAAATAATTGTTAACTCTTGGGGAAGATTGAAGAATACCGGACAATAATACATTGTGCGAGAATAGGGGGCGGAGGAAGGGATTGGGGGGACAAACTTTTGATGAAGGTAGTATCAATTGCCACCGAGTGACGCGGTGACAATTGATGCTGTAACCAAGTAAATTGGAGCTCTTTTGTGTTTGTGAATAGATCTAGCCTGTATGTGCTCGGTGTTCTGCATTCATGAACTTGCGACACAAGCCTCTCTCTTTGCCCCTCTGTGTGTGGGGGCGGGGGTCTCTCTCTCTCTCTCTCTCTCCCTCTCCCTAACCCCCGTCCCCCGGATTTATGTTCCCCGATATATATTATATTATATATAGAGGCGTATTTGAGTTTGTGTGCGTTTGTGGCGTACTTCTAGAATCACCTGTGTTGGTTCTACACCGAAGCATAGTATTAGTCTAGCCTACGTCTCATTCAAAACACGCCAAATTGAAGTTAGTAGCTCTAGATGTTCGTCCAATGAAATTAGAAAACAAATTGACCCACTTAGACATGAGGAGCCCGAAAGGATAGCCAGGAAACAAGACTTTCATTTTACTGTAAACCGAATCTTTCAAATGAGCTTGAATTTATGCAAAATGATATTCTCTGATAAAAATAAGTTTTTATAGATCAGATAGTTTTGAATACCATTCAGGGTTCCTGCGGCCTCCTTGAATTCAAGGAGTCCTTGAAAACTGCTTGAATTTGCATTCAAGGGAAAATGTCCTTGAACACTCCTTGAATTTGCATTCAAGGAAAAATCTCCATGAAAACTCCTTGAATTTTGCCAGATCGGACAGGAACACGTGTACAGGGTGACTGCCAGGCCTCGGGAATCCCGGGGGCCCATGGAATTACCCGGTCATTTGAACAAAATCGCTGAGACCCGGAATGCAACGGGAATTTGAAGAAATATGTAAATTGCCCCGTGAAAGACCCGGGAAAATACATAAACGTTCTCGAATATTTGAAAACCAAATCCGTTAACGTCCTTGAGTTCATTTTTGCGGGTCGCAGTTGTGATATAAAATTCATTCGGCCTTTCCCGGCCTGAGAGTATGTTATGGCGGCAACAAGTGGAAGTGTATGTGCGATACCGAACCTCGATCGGGAAAAATCAAGATCTACTTTCGCTTTCGTTACCACCTAGAAATTTGCCGGTAGGACCTATAGTAGTCTGATTGCGCCACATTTGTAACATGCAGGTTCTGCATTACAAATGCTGTGTCGCCATGAAAATAAATCGTTTGTCCTGTGCTGTCACTTGTGAGAAAAAAAGAAAGAAAAAGAAAGTTATACAAGCTTCTTGTCGGGCTCGCCATCGTGACCGGTCATTGAACCTGTACATTTTCGTCACATCGTGAGTATCGCGATGGTTGAGGTCACCAAAGTTCATGCAAAGTCTGAGCGCTGCAAAGTATAGGACTCGGGAATGGGGGGATTATTGTTGTTTTTTTTAAAGACGCACGCGGAGGAAAGGGGGGGGGGGGGGGGGTGAAGGCAACACCGGATGACAAAAACTAAACTTGGAAGCAGATTTTACTTTTCAGAATTTTGATTACTACTATCTAGATCTCAAGCTCTCTGCAATGCGCGCGTTGGTGCAGGCCTTGTATGGAATCGGAATCTGTCATACTCAAACCTTGTAAGCCGTGTGTTTGTAACTAAAGGGTTCCCGTTTCATTGGGTAGGGGATAGTAAATTATATGTACAGTAGTCTCCGCCTTAGATCCCACCGCTTACGATCCCGGTTCGCTTAAGATCCCGCTGTTTTAAGAAAACAGAATTTTTACCATACAAAAGTCACCACTAAGATCCCGCTCTGATTCACTCTTAAAAAGGTCTACATTCAGCTAAGATCCCGCATTTCAGATTATAATTTGCGGAACAAAAACTCGGGCGGGCACAGCCGATCAAACAAGGGGGAAAAGTTGAGATCAATAAACTGTCCGTCGCGTCAAAGATCAGCCACTATCGTGAATGTGATCACATACACGTTGTAAAACTCGATGAAGCGATGCAATGTTTGCCCCAGACGGGATCACACCGAGATGTGAACTGACCGACACGTTTGTTTTCCCCCCGTATCGCACTCGTACCTGAGCTCTCACCCTAAACTTACATCACTCGCTGGGTGGGTAGGGCCTATACGTTCGCTCCAGGCAGGATCACATCGAATCGTGAACTCTTCCCCGACCATTGCAGCAGTTGTCTGTACTCCCGAATTTGCGAGACAGACTGAATTTTAATTGGTGTGTTCACAACGTAATGGTGTGTAACGACAAAGGCCGTTGGGGGGGGGGGGGGGGGGGAGACTCGGTCAGAGATGGCAAGCTATAAATTTTCGACAGGTAAAGGGGAGGGGCAGCTGGATAAGCGTAGATCTTGAGACTCATGATAGGATAATTCGTGAAAATGGCACGCCTCATGCCACCATGCACTGTGATATGTCATCAAGGTTAACCACACTTTGCTCGCCTTATGCCATAAACCCACCAAGGGGTCACGTCAGTTCATTTTAGAGTGGAGGGAGACCATTTTTCCGATTGTGAGCCTTAACATGGGACACCACAGATTCTTCCCTGGGTTCGTCGGTTAAGATCCCGGTTCGCTTAAGATCCCGCATTTCTTGGCTCCCGAGCACCGGGATCTTAGGCGGAGACTACTGTATTGTATTCTATTTTTGAGCTTTCTCTTCAAGATTTGCAGATTTTCAGTGTCACTGCGTCTTGCCCTCCCACAGTTGTTACACCTCTCACACTGAATAGGTCTACTTGAGACATTCATGTTATTACTCTATTTTTAGTTAGAGTAATAATTTTTATCTTTTACGTTTATTGTATAAACCTTGACACCCAAACTGGTTCTTGACAGTGGATATTCTGGTTCTAGGCCTTTTCTGAGGCTCAAAGCAAGATTCATTTTTATATAGTTTATATAGGGGAATATGATGAGGGGAAAATATAAATAAGTAAGAACTGACTGAAATACCTAAGTCACAGTATCCCAGTGCCACACTGACATGTTGCTGACTGGAATGTACCTACATGCGTGCGTGCACACCATTCTGTGTATATATTAATAAATAATATATAAATGAAGCATGCACTGTCATTGGAGAATGGATGAGGCCCCCCCCCACCGGAAAATTGAGAAGCCGGTTGGCAGTCACCCTGCGAACAGTTTTTGTAGGGAAATCGAAACTATGATATGATTCTTTTCGGACAAGTGTAGACCTTCGAAAATAGGTTTTTGTCATGAATTTCTTGACCAAATCTCCTTGAATTTTAAAAATTTCTCCTTGAAACCTCCTTGAAATCTCCTTGAATTTGGTGGGAAGTTCATGGCAGGAACCCTGACCATTGTGCAGGTAAAAAGAAGAATTTGAGTGCAAAACATATGGAAATTGACCTACTATTATATAATTATCCTTTGTAAAGGAAAGACCACAGTTCGCACTGGGTCACCACAGTCGGCGTCCATTTGTTGTAAGTTCCTTGGCCAGATCGTAGAAACCGAGGAAGGCCAAGGTCGAATTGCTTGTCTTATTCGGACTCGAATTCAGACTCGAGAGTCCGAATAGCCTCATGTGGCTGTTCTGACTCGAGTCCGAATAGCCGCGGCCTTAAATTTAACTGGGGGAATCGTGTATTCCTAAGGTTGTCGAGACATCTAGGCAAAAGTAGTCCTAATCGGCTGGTCCAGTATACTTCAATCTTACCGACTCTTGTCCTGCATCTTGTGCTGAGTCTCAAATCTTATCAGCAACCTATTACATCCGACGCTCCGGGTGGGCCGCGGGGGTCCCTCAGCGTGTACTGTTGGTGTACAGTGAGCGGCCCTGGAAACGTGTGTTTTCGCCATGAATACACCGTGGGGGGTGTTAATCAATGTTGAAAATAACACTCTATACTCTTATAGCTTTCTATTTATAAAACGTTACGAACACATGAATAACCCCCTCTCATAAGCTGATAAGACTTTACGAGTAGTTACGCCCATTCGAATAACCTTTTTAGACACTCTTGTTGGTACGAATGATCTTGGGTTCGAAAGGGGATATCAATTTCTGAATGTTTTGCTCTCAAATTGTTCTTTTTACCAGCACAATTGTATTCAAAACTATCAAATAAGCTTATTTTTATCAGGTGTAGTATTATTTCATATAAAATCAGGCTCATTTGAAAGATTTTATTTAGAAAAATGGAAGTCTTGTTTCCTGACTATCCTTTCGAGCTCCTCATGTCTAAGTGGGTCAATTTGTTCCAATTTCATTGGACAAAGATCTAGAGCCACCGACTTGGTGTGTTTTGAATGAAACATATATGCCTAAGTTATGAACCAACGCAGGCGGTTCTAAAAGTAGGCCACAATCGCACACAAACTCATGCTGATAACAGAACATGGATGATGCTCAGCGCGCGTGCGCTGATCCAGGGTCGGACTGACACAGCAAGGTGCCGAAATAGGCTTATCGGGGAACATAAACCAAGCTCCCGCTGGACCAGGGTTAATTGTTATACCCAGGGCCCACTGTCATGATTGTTTGGGTTCGGTTTGGCTTGATAGGCGGGACTGGCTAGATTGAGGGCGAAAAGCGAACGCCATGGAACAAAGCGAAGGAAGCTGACTCGCTGAAGATGACCCTAAAAAACAAACACATTTGTTTTCAAGGCCGCAAGTCGGGCGATCGGTTTGTATAAGAGAACCGATCCCCGTATGGGCACAGGTTACCTACCTAATTTATAAAATTGGTAGGCATGACTAGAGTTATCCTATCGAACCCTGAACTTTTCCCTGCCTTCACCAAGGAACTGGACATCTGGAATGATC